AAACCCCACCCGGGCTAGCTTCGTAATAAAAAGGAAAGTTTATGGACCTGTGTGTCGACAAGCCCAGGAGTGTTCTTGCTTCAGACACGGCCGAAGCCGTGCAGGTTTGGAAAAAATCAACCTCTGTGCACCGCACTGGGTGCTCCTGGGAACGCCGGGCAGCGCGGTGTGGACGGACGTCCCGTCGTCACACCTTGGCTGGGCTCCTCGGGGAACAGGTCCGTCCGGGTGCTGTGACGATGGCCTGGCGCCGCTCACTCTGGTGTGGGCTGTCTTCACCGGTGGGACAGAGGCTGGCTCCGCCTGGGCCTTCCTGGTTGAAAGCTCTGCCCCCTGCGGTCTCCCGCCTGGCCTCTGGGGATGGTGCCATCGACCGGGGAAACCGGGCCCCGGGTAGCGCGGACAGCCTTGCTCAGGGTGGTGTGCGCTGGGCCCCGAGCTGCCCCTGTCTCTCCCCAGCGCCATCGGCCGTGGCCAGAGCCCTCTGTGGCGTCGAGCGGAGTCGCTTTGGCTACAAGTGGTGGCTGGGGCTGGGAAGGCTCCCCCGGCCCACACAGCACCGTGTCCGAACCCCGTCAGGGCTCCCTCCCCGGGGTTAAGCACCATCCGCTCAGGCTGTTCTCAGATGTTCGTGTGCAAACCTGGAGGGGCGGGTCACAGTGCAGGTTCTGATTCGGCAGGTCGGGGCCCAGCTCCCGGGGGCGGCTGCTGGCACCGCCAGACTGCAGCCCACGTTTGGGGTGGCAGGGCGTGCTGTGGACATGTGGACACTCCTGCCAGGGAGGGTTGGGGGGTAAAGTATAAAGCACCTGGGACCTGCCCAGGACTCTTCTCACACGGGCAGAGTGGCGGCAAAGGCTGGGGGGGTCAGAGGTGCTTCCAGGAATGACCGTTTACAGGCCCTTCCCCACCTTGGCCTCCTGGACCACACAAACTGGGTCAGGCTAGTTCTCCTTCCCAGGCAAGGGGACAGCAAGTGCAAAGGCCCTGGGGAGGGAGGGAGCTGAGGCCCCCGAGGCAGTGGGCCCGGCTCAGGTGCACCGGGAGTCACAGGAAGCTTCAGCAAGGCTGCGAGTCTGCTCTTGGCAGGCGAGACTGCTGTGTGCGGGTGGCCGGGGGGGGGACGGTGGAGTCGGGCAGACCTCCGCCCCCCCACCCGAGAGCCCCAACAGGGGAACCGGGCTCTGTCAAGGCCCCATCTGCCGCCACTCTCGTCTCTGGCCGTGGACTGGAAGCCTCGGCTGTCCCTCCCGGCCCCAAGGCTCCCAAGGGCCGACCGCCTGCCCCTTGTTTCTCTGAGACGTTAAGCAAGCATCCGAGTCGCAGCCTCGTGGCTGACAGCAGAGGGGCTCTGGGGAGGCAAGATGACCCCCCTAGGCTGAGTGTTGGGCTGGCCGGAGTGTGAGCTGAGTGACGTCGGTGTCCTGGCCACTGAAGCACGGGGGACGTGCTGGACCCGGCACACGAGTCTGGCCCGGGAAGGCACCGCCCTGGAGACCCCGTCTCTGCCCCCTGACATGTTTGTGCCCTCCAGGGACAGCCTCATGGCCAGGCTCAGGTCAGGGGCCGGGCGTGGCCGAGCCCACCCAGAATGTTCTCAGGGAGGGCCGTGCCTCCGGAGCGGTCAGGACTGCGTCCCACGGCCGGGCTGCACGGGGCACGTGTGTGTGTCACCCACTTGCTGGCGGGTGCCCCTGCCAGTCCCGTTCTCAGGCGGGGAAGGTCACCCGAGGCACTGAGTGCTGTCCCTCGTCAGGGCCGCACAGCAAACCAGCTCTCGGCCGCCGCTCCGCCCCACGCCCGGGGAGGTCAGGAGCCCTCCGCGCTTCGCAGAGGTTCCCTTTCCCGGGAGTGGAGCCCGAGGTCTGCCGGGCTCGGGTCCAGCCCTTGCTCTCCTGCCCGGGTCTTTGCTTGCAAGGCCTGGCGAGGACACAGGGACCGGCTGTCCTGCCAGCCGAGTGCTCCCGTCCACCCCTGGGATCCTGCCCCCGCTGTGCCTGGACTCCACGTCCCTGCCGGAGCCGGCCCTTCCCGCAGGCAGCACGGGTCCCCAGCAGGGCCGGCCTCGCCCTCCTCCTGGGAGATGCAGAGGGACAAGGGGAGGGTCTGAGGACACGAGTTTGAGGGACATCGTAGCCCCGACGCCACCACCCACCTCCGCATCACCTGGACCAGCCTTGCCGGAACCGGCCCAGACGGGAGCAGCTCCAGGTGGAAAGTGAAATCACACTGGGACCTCAGGGGGGCGTTTGGGGACTGACGACAGCCCTGCCTCCCTCTACAGTCCTGCGGGACTCACGCTAGCGCGGCTTGTCAACGGGGTTCATCTGAGTGGCTCCTACCTGTGAGTTGTTTTTTTTTTTTTTTTTTTTT